GATTGAACCCAAGACCTCATACACACAAAGCATGCCCTCTACCACTGAGCTACATCTGAAACTGGAAAAACCTTTTCTACCACTGAGGTACATGTTTTTTCTACTACTGTAGGTGCACCATTGCTATTAATTCCAGATGTGGAAACTCAACAGAACCAAATTGAATCCGTTTTGCTGAAATTAAAATTTTACAGTCTGTGGATTGAACCCAAGACCTCATATATGCAAAGCATGCGCTCTTCCACTGAGCTCCATCTCCTTTTGGAAGGACCTTTTCTACCACTGATGAACAACAAATTTTTTCTACTACTGTAGGTGTAACAATGCTATTAATTCCAGATGTGGAAACTCAACAGAACCAAATTGAATCCGTTTTGCTGAAATTAAAATTTTACAGTCTGTGGATTGAACCCAAGACCTCATATATGCAAAGCATGCGCTCTTCCACTGAGCTACATCTCCTTTTGGAAGGACCTTTTCTACCACTGAAGTACAACAAGTTTTTTATGCTTCTGTAGGTTTACCAATAGCATTAATTCCAGATGTGGTAACGCAACAGTACCAAATTGATACCGTTTTGCTGAAATTAGATTTTAACAGTCTGTAGAGATGCTGGGGATTGAACCAAGGTCCTCATACATACAAACCATGCACTCTACCACTAAGCTAAATCACCAGCTGAAAAGCACATTTTCTACCACTGAGGTACAACAAGTTTTTTCTGCTACTATAGGTTTACAAATGCCATTAATTCCAGATGTGGTAACGCTACAGGACCAACCAGAAACCGTTTTGCTGAAATTAAATTTTAACAGTCTGTGGAGATGCTGGGGATTGAACCCAGAACCTCATACATGCAAAGCATGCGCTCTACCACTGAGCTACATCCCCAGTTGAAAGACATATTTTCTACCACTGAGGTACAACAAGTTTTTTCTGCTACTGTAGGTTTACAAATGCAATTAATTCCAGATGTGGTAACGCTACAAGACCAAATTGATACAATTTTGCTGAAATTAAATTTAAACAGTCTGTAGAGATGCTGGTGATTGAACCCAGGACCTCATACAAGCAAAGCATGCGCTCAACCACTGAGCTACATCCCTGGTTGGAAGAACCTTTTCTACCACTGACGTACAACATGTTATTTCTGCTACTGTAGGCTTACCAGTGCTATTAATTCCAGATGTGGAAACTCCACAGGACCAAATTGGATCCGTTTTGCTGAAATTAAAATTTTACAGTCTGTGGATTGAACCCAAGACCTCATACATGCAAATCATGCGCTCTACCACTGAGCTACAACCCCAGATGGAAAGACCTTTTCTACCACTGATGAACAACAAGTTTTTGCTACTACTGTAGGTGTACCAATGCTATAAATTCCAGACGTGGAAACTCAACAGAACCAAATTGAATCCGTTTTACAACACGTTTTTTCTGCTTCTGTAGGTTTACCAACGGTATTAATTCCAGGTGTGGTAACGCAACAGTACCAAATTGATACCGTTTTACTGAAATTAAATTTAAACAGTCGGTGGAGATGCTGGGGATTGAACCCAAGACCTCATACATGCAAAACATGCTCTTTACCACTGAGCTAAATCCCCAGTTGAAAGGCACATTTTCTACCACTGAGGTACAACAAGTTTTTTCTGCTACTGTAGGTTTTTTCTACCACTGATGAACAACACGTTTTTTCTACTACTGTAGGAGTACCAACGCTACTAATTCCAGACGTGGAAACTCAACAGGACCAAATTGAATGCGTTTTGCTGAAATTAAAATTTTACTGTCTGTGGATTGAACCCATGCCCTCATACATGCAAAGCATGCGCTCTACCGCTGAGCTACATCTCCCGTTGGAATGACTTTTTCTACCACTGACGTACAACAAGTTCTTTCTGCTACTGTAGGCTTACCAATGCTATTAATACAAGATGTGGTAATGCTACAAGACCAAATTAAATCCGTTTTGCTGAAATTAAAAGTTTAAAGTCTGTGGAGAAGCTGGGGATTGAACCCAGGACCTCATACATGCAAAGCATGCGCTCTACCAGTGAGCTGCATCCCCAGGTTGAAGAAGCTTTTCTACCACTGATGAACAACAAGTTCTTTCTGCTAGTGTAGGCTTAACAATGCTATTAATTCCAGATGTGGAAACTCAACAGGACCAAATTAAATCCGTTTTGCTGAAATTAAAATTTTACAGTCTGTGGAGATGCTGGGGATTGAACCCAAGACCTCATATATGCAAAGCATGCCCTCTACCACTGAGCTACATCCCCAGGTGAAAGGCATATTTTCTTACACTGATGTTCAACAAGTTTTTTCTGCTACTGTAGGTTTACAAATGCCATTAATTCAAGATGTGGTAACGCTACAGGAGCAAATTGATACAGTTTTGCTGAAATTAAATTTAAACAGTCTGTGGAGATGCTGGGGATTGAACCCAGGACGTCATGTATGCGAAGCATGTGCTCTACCACTGAGCTAAATCCCCAGTTGGAAGGACCTTTTCTACCACTGATAAACAACAAGTTCTTTCTGCTAGTGTAGGCTTAACAATGCTATTAATTCCAGATGTGGAAACTCAACAGGACCAAATTGAATCCGTTTTGCTGAAATTAAAATTTTACAGTCTGTGGATTGAACCCAAGACCTCATACACACAAAGCATGCGCTCTACCACTTCTACCACTGCGCAACTCGAAAGACCTTTTCTACCACTGAGGTACAACAAGTTTTTTCTACTA